TAATTGTAATAATTTATGTAAACTTTTAGTAAAATTTAAAATGACATTTTTTTTAAAAAATTTTATAGATTTTTAATCACAATGGAAAACAATGATATTATATATTAATATCTAAAGGCATAATTCAACTGAAGAAATTTCAGATAATTAAATGTTTTTATTGTAAATTTCAGAATTTAATATAACTTTTGTAATATCATAAGTAGATGATCTATTATGAGTATAACAAGTATTGATGTTACATAAAGATCTTAGTAGTAATTATTGTAATATTTTCTAAGATATTACAGAAGATTTATTATATAACTTCTTTGTATTTATAAATTTTTGAATTAGAATCTACATATAAATTACAAACATAACTTTTATAACAAAAAAAAGGAAAATTATATGAAAATTCTTCAAGTATAACAGATTATATTAGTTGAAGATTTATTTAATAAATACAAGAATAACTTTATACTTTATACTTTATACAAATAGATTATAAATCATAACTATTGAAATAACATTTATTGTCATTTGATAGTATTTTGAAGAGAAGCTTAAGATCAGGGAGTAAAAATGTTGATGAATATGATCAATCATATATTATTAATAATTATTATTATTGTTGAAGATATATTTAGTAAATATAAAAATAACTTTGCAATTTATATAGATTACAGATTACAACTGTCAAAAAACCTTATTATCATATAATAGTATTTTAAAAATTAAAGAGCAAGAAAAGTTATAGTAATTGTCAATTTTATGAAAAATCTACTAATTTAATAGTTTAATAAATTTTTAATTTATAAATTTTTAAGCAGATTTTGCAAATAAATCATAAATTCAACAATCATCAAAAATAAACAGAAATACTATAGAAAGAGACTTAAGAATGAAAAATTATGTTAATTATAATTATAATATAAAAAGAAAAAACTGAATTTCATGCATTATTTAATAATAATCAGTAACAATCCCTTATATAAAAATATTAATGAATAATTTGTATGTTGATGAATAAAATTTATCAAAAATTTCTTTAATTGACTTTGTGAATATTTAATTTCCATATAAAATGTAATTAAATTGTCAAAACCCATAATTTTTATTTAGTAATCTAGTTAAATTTTGTCAAAATAGGTGATTTTCTGTAGTAATTTAGTATTATTTATTAAGTTTTGTCAAAACATAGAATTTTTGTTTAGTAATTATATTAAATCTTATCAAAATGCAAAATTTTTATTTAGTAATTTTGTTAAATGTTAGGATTTTTATTTAGTAACTTTATTAAATTTTGTCAAATGTTAGGATTTTTATTATTATTTTAATGTAATTGATAACATTATTTAAGTAATTTCAAAAATTTGAATATTTAATTTTGGTTAATTTTAGTAAAACAGTATTATTTACCTCCATTTTAACAAAATTTAATGAAAAAAAAGCACAATTTATCCAGAAAATTTCTGGTAAATTGTGTGATAATGAACACCCTTTGACCTATGTTAGATTATAGAATGGTATTCAAAATATAGAGTGATATTAGAATTATATAGTGATGCTATTATAATCTAATTTAAGTAGTATACCTTCATATAATATAATTATTTTTTTTTATTTGATGATGTTTATTATCAATACTATTTAAAATAAGTATTTGCATTGTTTAAAATCATAATATAAATCTATTATTTGTAAGATCTCTAAAGAAAATTTAGAAGTTAAAATTAAGCTCAATTAATAAAAAATGATAAACTATTAAAGTAAATGATCGACATAAAAATATAAAACGCGTTTTTTTTTGGTTTTGGTTTCTTTAAAAAAAAAAACTTAATAAATACTATACTTCAACCTAATTTTATAAACCTGGATCTCGAGAGGACATAACTAATAATACCATGCGTTCAATTCCATAGTTAACTTTAAACCATTTACTGAGCAAAATTTCTCTCAACGCAACAGCAAAATTTCCTCAACAACAACAGCAAAAAATTCTTCTGGCTTGATTTAATAAAAAACGTTATTAATAAGTTCGGCATGTCATTTTACAAAATATTGGTTATCAAAAAGTTCAATTGGATGATCAAATAAGCTGATCAAAAATTCGTATTCGATGTTGTTCCTACATCTAATCTTCCGACAGTCGAGGAAAGTATGGAGTGCCGAACAACTTAATGGATTTTTGAAAGAGATAATAAACAACATTGATAAGCACATAGATACTAACACTGGGAGTCAAGAAGTACAATCTTAGTTGATTATACTGCGACGACTTTGAAAGATGGGAAATACCAGGTGGACCATCCAAAAGAATCGGAAAGCTGAGTCAAATTCAAGGAGGTACCTTGATCTTGTGCTTTTTTTCCTGCTTCTTATCGTCAAATCCGCCCAAAAACACATTCACGTTATTGTAGAACTTCCCGCTGCTACCGGTGAGTCATAATAAATTTTGTAAACGCGTCTTGGCTTGATAACCAACCATTTGTCATTCTATGGCATCTTTTTCCAGCTTCCATAGAGAATCTCGCAGACCTCTTTGGCCAAATGGTACGTTTATTAATTTAATGTATTGCAATTTCGATATGCTATATTCACAGTGATTTTTCAGGTAGCTCTGCCAGTGAGAGTGCATCAGCACGTTCTTTACGGAAAGATGGGAGAGAAGACTCAAAAGAAACCCAGAATGTTTTAAAAGCAAATGAAAAAACTCGGAAGCATTGATTTGTCTTGAGAGAAATAACAAGCTTAATAATAAAGACTTTGATACAGGTACTGGTTTTTTTGTAAAATTTGGAAATTTCACCTATATTTTATACATTTCAAGTTCCGTAACACGTGAAAGAGCATACTAGAGCATCGTGCTTGAGAGAGCTGACACGGAATACTTTTTAGTAAGATGAGCCCTTGGTTATTTTGCTAATGATGATCAGTCAATAAATATCTGCGAGATTTCCCACACCAATTGCTACAGAAGATGAAGTTCAAGATTAGTTCAATGACCTGATATTAGAGCTCCAAGCTTTAATAAAAGACTCGTTGTGGAAGATACACAAAATAATCCATACCTTGGCGGAATTAAGCCAGATTTCTTGAAAATGATGTTAAAGATAGAACCTGCATTCCCATGTTTTTGCAAACGCTTCTAGAGATAAAAAAAAAAAAAAAAAAAAAAAAAAAAAAGTGAGAGTGGTTTGGCTGACGTAGATAAGGGCCAACTAATGTATTAAATGAATGTCCTTATTCAACATCAGTCATTGCGTGAAGAATTTGCGCCTTTTTGGGTATTGCTCTCATCTTCTACAAAATGCCTGAACCTAGGAGCATCAGATTTTACACAGCTCTGGACAATACACAAATATACATCTGAGGGAATTTTTAGGTTTGGGTTCATCTTCAACAGTATATAAGGTTAAATATAATGATACTCAAGCTGATTTAAAGTATTATCAAGATATTAACCTTATCACAAGGCACAAATTCTACAATTCAGTAACGGTAAAAACTTTCAGAATATTCCAAACTACATTACGCATGATAACGTTTCAATATTTATTTCCCCAGTTTAAAAGTGAATTGGAAAGTTTTGAGGCGAAAGTATTTCACCAAGACGAAAACACCTTATTTGAATATTCACTTATTCTTGCTGACTGGGGAACAGCAATCCGTGATCCTTTTAATGAGCAGATGCTCTATGAAAGAACAAATCTTGTTTGCCTCGCCTGGTATTTTGAATAACAATCTGGGATTTCACCAGCCTAGGGTAACCGATGATCTTCACGATCAACGTATATATTACATAATCAGAGAATTCTGAAGGTGACAGTGTGAATGTTAAATTGAATGATTCATTATAGGAGGAAATGTAAATGCAGCAAACAACAGAGATTATTACATTTTTAAATCATGGCCGATACAGATTCAAAATTATTAAAGAATTAAAATGAGTTAATGTAAATTTGAATGCAATATAGAAATTGCATAGGTTAATGATATTATAAATAACAGAAAAATTACTTACAGTATATGATAAAAATAAAATAATGGTTAGGGATTAGAGATTAGATTAGAATATCTATCATTCAAATTTTTTGTATAAAATTTTATTTAATATACATTTCATGTATAAATTAAATTTTTTGAATAACCCGGCAAGTAACTTGATTTTTGCTGATTTAATTAATCTTTTTATAGAAATAAATTGTATCAAAATTTGAGATAATCTCAATAAATATATACAGTATTTATTAATTTTAACAATTCAATATCATGAAGGCTAAGCTAAGTACAATCTTTGCATCCTCCAGTTGTTTTATTCACACTAATGTCGTCATTGGTGGCAGTTGTTTTGGCGGATTCACCTTTTTTATCTGCATCGCTATGACCAAGATTCATATCAGGAGCAATTTTATTTCTAATAAGTGTTTTCTAGGATAAAAAGCGAAAAAAACGTTAATTAAAGAATTTATAATGTAAAAGAATGTGAAGATATTATCTCACCAATTCTTTCATTTCCGGAAATCTTCCTTCTTGTTTACGATCCCAAATAAGTTCTATTTACATTTATCACCAATGTTAACCATTATAATATTTGTAAGATAAAATCAATTTATTTATATTACCTCCATTAATATGAACTTTGAAAATGGCTTTGGAACCAGGAATTAAAGCTACTTCACCGAGGAGATCATTAAATGTGATTAATAATTCCTGTGCCATCCATCCTGCACGTAATACCCTATACAAATGATTTAATGAAATATATATACACAAATGTATATATGTATACACGTTTTTCCGGACTTACCAACGACATTGGACACAATATTCGATTGAAACGCGTGGAAGATGAGATTTAATTGCGTCTTGTCTTAATTGAATTGTCTCTTCATTTAAAGGTAAATTAACGACGGTTTGGGTAGACTGATTCGCTGACATTTTTTCTTAAAAGAAATTGAAATCCTTATTCCTGAAATCATTATTATTATTTATTATATTTATATTTATATTGTATGACGATGATAATCAATATTCACGTTTTTGGTTAGTAACCTTTTTTTATCATCAAAAGCTAGATGTGATTAGCACCACCATTATTATTACTAGCTCCATTATTAAAAGAAGCAATTTTTACTCTTTGTAGTATCTCATCAGTCTTTGTTTTAATAGATACATTCAACCTTACGCATTCATTTCTGTAATCGTAGTACCTTTTCCACCTGAACCCATAACCATTAAATTTTTCAATAAAATGTAATTCACATTTTTCGTTAATTTTTTTATTATGGAGCAAGTTGTATCCGATTTCGCTAAAGTTATCAAACATCTTTCGATCCGATTCGCAAGGGATCTCGTGGATAATGTGACCAGAAGATTGCTTATAGAATGTAATGGAAATTTTTGGTGACGACGCCAGCGTTTGAATAGATTTAATGAGAATATAATGAATCGTCATGATAAAGACATCAATTGATTGAATCGCTTCAGATTGTGCCATGGCTGGTGATACTAAATACAAAAAAGAAAAAAAGTGATGTACTGTAACATGATAAAAAAATGAAATTGAAAAAATTTCTTTTTATATACCTCTCCAGTAATCTTCAAGCTATTAAAATAAATGCAGAATGAGAAAATAATGCCATTTTTTTTTTCCCTACAAAATAAATATATATATATATATTTTTTAACACTTACTTTAGCTTGAAGGTGATTAACCGTAGAAGAGAGAAAATTGTCAGGAACTAAATGAATAGATTCTCGTTCTTCTTGAACCAAGGAAAATGGGTCATACAACCAGTCGCTATCAGAAGAGGACATTTTTTATTTTGATTTATTGAATTATTTATTTTTATAAAAAAAAAAGAATGCTTTTTTAAATACGTTAAATTCATTAAATTAATCTTTTTTAAATAAACTCTGCATCAAATACATCAATTTACGAAAGTAAAAAACGTCATTATTCTGAGTTATAGTAAAAAGGTACACGTGAGAAAAACTTAATGTATTAATCCCAGTTTATTGCCAAGTCTATTGAGTTGATCCAATGAGTACTCCATTCAGATAGTAATTGATTATTCGTTCCATCACATATACAACGAACTAATTCATCTGGTACTTTTAAAATGTTCTTTTGTACAATTATCATTATGTTACGAACCCTCTCTTCATAATTGATTTCTCCGATTTTATTATTCTCTTGTTGCTCCATAAAATTATCGGAATATGGACATTGTTGCCAATTCTCCATTATAAATTTCCACACTTCATATAACATATTATATATATCCTTTGTATTCAAATATGGCAACACCCTTCCAATTTCTGTCATAGGAGGTCGAATATCTCCTGCCTATAACAAAAAAAAAAAGAAGTATTAGTAAATGGATAGGAAATACATTCGTTAATATAAAGGCTTACTTTACGCATTGAATCTATTAATCTTATAGCAACATCCAACTCTAAACGACATTCTTGTGGATCTGATTTTTGAGTAAAATGCCAAAATTGTATATTATGTGCAAAAAGGGCTCGGATCAAAAAATCATGTAATTCTCTGTATTTTTCATGATTCACTAGTAAAACGTGTAATTGTTAAATATTATTTCAATTGTCTTTTTTTAATAGAAAAAAGAAAAAAACACTATACCATTGGATAAATAGTCGAGTAAAATCCAATACTGATGATGAGATTTAAAGACTTCGTTCAATATCCAATCACTTTGATTTCAAAAATGAACCAATCAAAAAATTTTAAATTAACCTTGAAATAATGGAAAGAACAAGAATGTTATATTCATAATTACCGAGAATTCAGTAATTTCGTTCCCTTTGGTATCATTGAGTGTATGGTTACTGAAGTTGGAGGTTCTACAGTTGTAAATTTATCCATAAGTAGCTGTATCAACTCGCTAGCTCTCTCATTATCGAACGCCAATAAATCTAAAATAAAAAAAAAATATTAAAATACCGTATTAAATCAAATCAATATTAAATCAATATAATAAATTATTCACCTGATTTTAGACAACACATCTTAATTAATGTTGCTGTGTTTATTGCATTTGATACGTAACATTCATCTAAAGGAGAACTTTAAAAAAGAATATTTTATATATAAACACATATACCTTTGTTTATTTTATTTTTTTAAAAAAAAATAAAAAATAAAACAATTACTCAATTACGCTATTCGCAAAGTGCGATTGCCAAGTATTCTGAATTCTTATTGGTTTCTTGAATGTCCAATTTTTACGATAAAGTTGTAGCCTCGGCCGATAAACTACTTTTCGGTCGATAAATGAATTGTCCTTATCAACCATCATTTCAGTTGTCTTCAGTACTGACAAACTTTTTTGCTTATTTACTTGTAACTCTGAAGTAATATTATTTGATGATTTCTTCGGATCCCAATAACGTTCACTTTCAGGTTTGGTCCAAATTTCATTCATTATTAAATTTGACATGAATAAAAACGTGCCCGATTCATTTGTTAAAGTCGTGGCTATCATTTGTAAACAAGATATGATTTTGTTCCATTGAACATTTTGTCGATGATCTCTTGTAAATTGAACTTGTTTCTCCATTATAAAAAACCATATGCTGACCAATTCATCATGACATTTCATTAGATTACCCGCTGTCATATTTCGTACAAATTGCGAACTGTATAATAAGAGCACTTGAACCCATTGTAAATCTACTTCTAGGTTATTCCCGTTATGAAAATTTAGAATTCGATGTAAATTTTCTAACAGAATGTAAAATGATTTTCCAAGAGCGTTTAAAATACTTTTTGACATTTCACTTGTCTCAAGTGAATATTTTTTAAATTCGGATAGCCTAAGATTTGAAGTTTCCGGATCCGAAATAATAATATAAATCAACGATTGGCATAATTTCATGAATCGCGTATCATCTCTATGGGTGAATTTGGTTTTTTTTATTACATTCTCCACAGATATTCTAAAAATAAATTTTTGTTTGATCGAGAAATTCTTTAGAAAGATACTTCCAACTTTTAGAATTTACCTTATTACATCGTTCCATTTATTATAGAAAGAGGTTAATATATCGCGTATCTGCTCAATTCGTTTAATCACCGCATTATCAAACGTGGGAATTTTTGAAAAATCTATTCTGATTAGTAATTGCTCTATTATTTCAATTGCATTTTGTTTTTCCTGCATCATTCATTTTTAAAGATGGAACTATGAAATCGGACTATTTATAAACAAAAAACATCACACAAAATATTCACGTGATGTATCACTTTATGGTAACACAACCTAAAATTATATAAAGCCTCTCAATTTTTCATTCGGAATAGGAATATATAAAAAAAAAAATTTTTTTTCCTTTGTTAATGAACTAGGTTGTGAAGAGGTAGTCTCTCCAGAACAAATTTAGAAGCTGTCATTTTCACATTCTGTTTATTCCCTGTTTTGATCTTTAGTAAATCAAAAGAGATAGCCTATTGAGAGTAAGTTTAGCAATTTATTAATGCTATAAAGCTTCGTAACTGTTTTTAGTATTATTTACAAATTGTCACTTAAAGGTTCATATAGTTCCTCATTAGACTATTAAATCTACTTTGTACGGTGTTAAAGGTGAGAACTCTGAGGCAATACAACAAATAAGGTATCGTATAGAAAAGACGCAGTTTCTTTTACTTCAATAATAAAAAAGCTTTTCAGAAATAATTTGGTAGCATGATTTTAGGATCCGGTTCGCAAATATTTGTAAACGAATCGCAGGTGAATATAAAGTAATTGACCAATTTTTTTTTCTTCTGAAGAGAGGTATATTTCATCCTAGACTTGAAATTAAAAATGATAAGAAGCATTCATTCATTTTATTATATAGCTTATTAATAACTGTGATAGGAATTTCTTATTCAATTAGGTAAATCATTAATTTAATTTCATGTTCTTGACATTAAGATTAATCAACTTATCTTTTGAGCGCTTTTATAGATTTCAATCAAAATTTTTTATGATGTTTAAGCGCGTATGTACTTATATATATGATTCTGACTGTTGACTCTAGATCAGATATATTAGACGATTTTTGGCTTAATAAGAAATGGATAGGAGATCTTGGCGAAGGAGCAGCACTCATTCATCATCATCATCATCATTATCAAGATCATCAGAGTACGATATCTGTTTCTATCTACTTTATGATGCATTGAAGATAAGCGTCTTATAGCAAATTTTATTTAATTTTTTAGCGTGCTTCGTCGTATTACTAGATCTCTTGCTAATTCAAGTCAGCAAGCGAATCAAGAAATTGGTGAAAACGTGCCTGATCATTTAAGATACTTTTATCGAAGCAGGCAAATAAATATGAGCAATGCTATTGAGAATACGATTGATGATTATGAAGCTATGGATATTGATGAACCAGAACAAATGGAAATATCTTCTGAAATTATGAGTAGAGATAATGCAGATACTGGTGAGCCGTATTTATTTATTTACGATTCGGTATTATCGAAATAAATTGCATTTTTTCTATATATAAAGCAAAGTTTCGAATTGCGTACATATCACACTTTTTGGAATCGCATATTTTTAACATAGTTTATACGCATGATATTTCACAGAATCTAATATAATGAGTATAGACCAACCTCTTGATGTAGAACTGAATTCAGATGGAATTGAGATTGAACATGATATTCATTATGATGGGGAAGAGAATGACAGTGATACAGATGAAATTCATGAATCAACACACGATAATGAACCACAGATTATACAACCAAATAGCTTCTTACCTTCCGATATTAAAGATGTTATAAAATCAGTATCTCGAACGGAATGTAACAGTGAACAATTGGCCAGGCTCGCAAATTTTTTCTTATTACTTGAAAGACCTATGTTTAGTAACTGGAACCTAGATTTATTAGTACAGAAGCTGTTGGATGTAGTTCAGAAAACCACAAGTAATGATTCCATGCCTTCAATTGAAGCTTTAATGTTACAACAATTTGAACCAGAGATTCTACGCCAACTATTGGAACGGGATGTGTTTCAAGGTACAGGAAATGATCCGAATGTTATAACAATGGCAAGCCGATGTTTGGGAAATTTGGTGATGACCTTGGGTGATAACTCTGAGCGTATGATTGGCCGTGCTATAAGAGAGGATGCTATTCCATTATTGTGTAACATTTTAACGGAGGGGCCACGTACCTATGATTCGGAACATTTAAAAGATATAATATTGGTATGTTATCGCAGCAAATTTCTTATAAATGTTATCGAGTAATTTCTATTTACTTCTACTTCGAAATCTTATCCTTGGTATTAGGCATTGTATCATTTTTCAAAGCCAACTTTTATCGATTGTACAGAAAGTATAGTCAAGAAAAATGTTTTCAAAAATATCATGGAAAGCATCATGCCTTTTTTAATTGACGAGGATCGGGTTTTGCCGTTGAAATTACTTGCCAATTGCACTTGTAAAGTTCCTCATCGTTATATTAAACAATTGCTGGTCGAGGTTTTCAATACAGTTGACTTTCAGGCGTTCTTTGCTGATCACGAAATGCCCGAGGTTACAAAATGGTGTTGTATTAGTTTATGTTCTTTAATAAGTCGATATCGTGGGGATGTTGAATCTTTATTAGTATTCTCAAATCCGGATGTGATTAAGAATATTACTTATCGTATGAAACAATTCGAGTAAGTAACGATTTTTTTTTCAATAGTTTTTTTTACTACATGTTTAACATTACGTTATTTTTAATACAAATATAGTGAATATAATCAATTAAGAATCTGGAAAATGTTCAATACTTTAATAAATAAATCGCGTAGAATAACAAATTTACTTATTGACAATGGAGTCGTTAAGGCTTTGTTCGATGTATTATCAAGGAAAAGCATAAATAATCCCGAGAAAGATCAAAATGAAAATGAATTAGTTTATAGCCATAATCTTAACCATAATGGCAACAATGCCAATGTCAACGGTAATCCAAATGGAAATGATAATGGTAATGGTGCAGAACGACGTAGAAACGTAGAAGATATATACTCAGAATTATCAATTGATGGAGGTAAGATTGGGGAGATAGTGACCGAGGTCAATACAAAACTTCGCTACAGATATGTGAACATGGAACCAATTAAGCTTTATATGCAAGTCTGTCATTTTATTTTGTCATTATTCCCTGCCGTACCGGATCCAGGAATGTTACATCTCATGGTTCCGGATGGAAAAATTAGTCATAAATGGACTTCAAAAGGTTCGTTAATTAGGTTTGTCAATTCTTTATTTAGATAATTAATTTCTATTGAAAATTTTAGTAGATTGGTTGACGGAATTTGTTCATAATATCGACGCGAATCATGATGAAATGAAGGTTGATTGCGGTAATACTTCGCAGCAGCCAATTTTGAATAAGCAAGAAAAGCTGTTTGCAGTTATTATATTACCATCATTATTTAAGTCATATCGCGCTTCGGAATGTTGGGAATTGCGTAAATTGATTATGATGAGTGTATTAGCATTCGTGGTATATTATCCTGAAGATCTTATATGTAAAATTTTTGAGGTTCGTATGCATCATTTAGTTTAAAATTTTTTTTAATTTTTTTATTCGCTAATTACCTATTTTGTTTCTTTTAGTATTCACACATCGAGGAGTTCCTTTCAAATATTTTTTTTAATAATGCTAAAGTAAAACAAAAGAGTGAAGAGGAAGATAAAGAAGAAAAAGATGATGTTTACATTCGTGATGTACGTGCTTATGCTGAAGATTTACTTATACAAATTATCCTTAAATGGAATAGTACTTTCCAAGAAGCATTTGATAAGAAATGCATTTATGACGAATATACAAAAATTCTTGAGAAATACCAGCAAGAGTTTAATAATTTCAGTAATATAAAATTAGAGAATGGTGATCCCACAATTAGTAAGTAATAGCTGTTATATGAACATTTTTTTTTTTTTTTTAAAAAAAAAAAAAAAAAAAAAAACCACAGAAAGAAAGAGAAAAGAGTGAAAGAAAAGGTTTATTGTATTAGGAGGATCTTTGGTTTACTGTAAATATATATTTTTATTTTATGCGAGAAAAAAAATTAAATTGCAAGATATTTTATTAATTTACAAATAAATTCAAATTATTTATTCAATGGTAGAACACAAATATAGCATATTTATATTTATAATAATATTAAGTATTAGTTATAGATTTTTTTCGATGAGTTCATTACTATGTGTATTAGTTTGTTGAGGAGGGAAATAGATCGGGTCGCGTTTTTTAATTTATTGGATCCTACGCTGTTTTCATCATGGCGCAGTAATTTCGTCCGCTAAAATTGTGGCGCGGCTTTCTTTGGTTGGTCATGTGATTAAATCAATCAATAAATCCTTAGAATATTTATTAAATATCCAAAATTTTCCTTTCCTCTAATAATTTTATGATATCATTATGAATTGACTTCGCTCTTTACAGATGGAAATTATTTCTTAAATATTAATCCTATTTAATCTCTATGCTAATGGTCTCTACTATTTTTCTACTCTCTGTCGATAAATTATTGTTTCCGGTTGTTGTAGTAGTCGTTAAAGTTGTCCGATCAACCCGATCAAGTAATTCCGCTTGTTGCTCTATTTGTTGCTTTGGTCTGTACCATTCCACTGGAAACTTAAGACCTTGTAATTTCTTTTTCTTTGATTTTTTTTCTATATGTCTTGTGTCCATTGGTATGTCCTCAAACATATCTTCCTCATTCTAAAACATTCATTTCCCAAAATAAGTTAGTTAAATCAAATCTTCGATATAAAACCATTTAATCCTCTAAATTCAAGATTTACCTTGGATTCCTCCAAAAGTTTGTCAACCAAATCGCTCAAATATTTTTTATTTTGATTAATATGAGGAAATTTATCACAAGAAAATTTAAATTCTACTCCATTAAATCTAGGACCACATAATATAACAAATTTATGTAGTTGTTTAGGTGTAAGTAGCGCTTTAATATCACAGAATTTTATGGTAAGAACTACTTTGTTTTGTAATGGCGAAGATTCTCCTACGTAATATGAATTTTTAAAACAAAGAATTGAAGTTGGTGGGGATGGAGTAAATTTTTCTGCGAATACTATTTTTGAGAAGTAATAAATATAAATCGAAAGGGTTGATTTGTTAATTATGTAGTAACGATCATACATTTCATACATTATTACTTACCTGAAAGTTGAGGCAATTCGAATTTTGTTATTCTCAGATAATTTCTGACCTCTCGTTGAGCTAATAAAATATCATATCCGGGCTTGGTTATAGCGTCAAATTTGTACTCTGGCATTTTGTCAATATCATATAATTCAGCTTCAGGATCTCTTCGTTTACCCAACCCCCCTGAACCAGGTTTATTACGTGCAAAAGATGCTGAAGTCGAAGAAATATATCTATGTAATGTTTTTAATCTGAATAATGTATGTTTTTGCATTGAAAACCCCCGAGAGAAGGTTAACATTTTTTTTTTTTTTTTGATTTATCTTGAAATAATGAGGATTTATAAATAGATGAAAACCGAATTTTGTGTTTTAGGAAACGATAATCGACATTGCATAAGATTGAAGATCTGTGAATTGGAACATTCCGAAGGACGTTGATATACTATACATATAAATAAATTTAACCGCCTACTTGAAATTGTGAACTGATGTCATCCTGGCTAAATGCATTTAAACTAATTTGGATTTTATAATCCCATGCTAATGATAAATTGATTAAAAATAGTTTTTTTATTCATTATTACATTTCTTCCTTTAAATCACTTTTTTTTTATTTTTGTTTTTACTTTTTTTTTTCGATGGCTTCCTCTGCTTTAATTGTTCCGTTAGTCTTTTGGAATAAGTTGCCAACTGCTCCCGTAACTACTGTCGCTTACAAGGAAGGACACATTGTTACTGGACTTAAAGACGGTCACATTTGGATATATCGTTGTATTATCAGCGAACAGGGAACTCTTCAGGTGAATTTTAAAACAACCTCGCCTTATATTATTATTACACCTTTTATATAACGATAAGGCCTTTCGGATTTGTTTATTAAATACATATACTAAAAATATATTCTAAAAGCAAACACGATAAATCTGTTATCATAATTTCTCTTTTTTTTTTTTTATTAAATCAAAAAAAATTTAGCTACAACATAAGGTATTATGCGTTGGTCATGAATCTCCAATTACCGCTTTAACAATCGTAAAAGGTCAAACTGACGGCTGTGCCGAAAATGATCATGTAGTGATCAGCGCCTCGGAAGATGGGTTGAGTATTTGCATATCTTTATAGGGCGATCTGTTATATTCTATAACTAATTATTCATTTATTTTAATGAAATGGGTTATAGTGATGTTATTAAGTGGTGTTTGTTGGATGGAAGGTGTCTTATGAGCATTTCTAGAGCTTTTGATGGAATTATCAAAAGTCTAAAGCCTCTAGCCGAGTATGCTCAGGTAAAATAATATGTTCAAATTACTAATATTTTTAAAACTTAAATATTGATATTAAAAAATTTATGTAATTTATTATAGCCAGCAAAATTTCTTCTCTGTTCTGGATTTTTAAATGAGATCACTATATTAAATTGCACATCACTAGAGGTAATTTTAAATTAATTTTACTGGATATTTATATGTTCGGGTTAAGTTATTAAATTTTTCTAATATCTAGATTGTGCGAATTTGGGCTGGTCATAATGATTGGGTGACTTGCACTCCTTTTTATGATTCAGGTAAATTATTTAAGAGAATATATTTTTCCGATTCATAATTTTCTTACAAACTTTTCTATTTAGATGCACGTCAAATTAGATTGTTAACTTCAAATTTCAATGGAATTTTGAAAATATGGACATTTGATGAATCAAAGCATACAATTATAAAAGAATATGATAATGTTGGATTATTAGATGCACAGGGAGATAAAATATTGGAATTAATTAGTAATCCATACGATATTGGAGTTATACTAGCAATAACTAAAAGTTACGTTATAGTAAGTGCGGAAATAATTAACATATATGTAAACTTTGCCAGTAAAATCAAAGTCATAACCGTAATGTGATTTTATTGGCAACGTTCCCATATAATATTAGTTTATATGCGAGCAATAAAAATATTTTGTTTGTCATTAGATATTTACAATCTGTCATGGGAGGATGGGTAATTTTCAACGTATTCGAATCCCAAAGGAAGGAATTCATTGGGCAAGTGGAATTTTCTTATCGAAAAATCGAGTATTATTATGGAATCAGGTAAAGTTGAATATATTTGAGTTTTTTTTGTGTGAATATTCATTAATTTTGCATATCATTTATTTTGGAAAATATGCAGATAGGAGATGCTTATCTGTATTCAATACCGTCATACACGGAAAGGAAATTTCCGCCGGAAAATGCTCATTTGCATATAAAGCCAGGCCTTATTCGAAGGTCATCTCTGCCTAATTTACAAAAAGTCAACGTTAATAAATTACCAAATTCGCCCCTGTCAAGGTTAGAAATACTATATCATTGAACTTTTTTGAGACCTTTGCAATAATTTATCTTTTTTATATTATTTAAAAATTCTAGACCACAGTTACTCGAATCTGTTTGTTCGGATAGTGAAAATAAAGCGAGTCCTGCTGTAACGACTGTATTTTTAACATCGTGCATTGAAGGAAAGTTATCGAGTTTATATTTGGTTACTTTCCGTAATCAGGCAAGTGGTACCTCATTTGCATTCAAGTCATTATCACCGGTGAAAGAATCCGAAATACGTGATAATAATCATACTCGAGAATTAAGGTGGCATCCGGGCAAGTTCATAAAACATTTTTTCTTTTAAATTATTTATTTTATTTTCTTTATTTTTCTTATTTTAAAAAAAGTTAACCTTTTTTCACTTTCCTTTTATAGAAACACAATTATCTGTCATTTGTCCGTTAAAACATCAGAATGATCAAATTACAGTCACAACTATGGTTTATGATGATCATTTAGCTATTGGATATGGTATGATATTATGTGGATTTTGTTGTCAACTGTATAATATTAAATATTTTAAAAAAATTATTTTTATAGAGAATGGAGAAATTCACCTTCTACCTATACCAGTGGCATTAACACAATCTGAGGTACCACCGGATTCAATATTAAAAGGTCATATTGGTAAGGTTACTTGTTTATATACACCTTGTTCACAAAGCTTTGGGAACAAGTATCTTTTATCCGGTGGTGAAGATTGTTCAGTTAGGATATGGAGTTTGGAGTAAGTTATTTGTTGGTATATTATTCTTTATTTTGGTGGTTATGTAATTCTTTTTGTACTATTATTCACGAAGTTTTTATATGATTCTGTGAAGAGAAAAGAAGAAACTTGCTTCTTTCAAGTATCATAGTCAATATGTTACACAATTTTTTGAACCTCCAATTGATGAGTTACAAAGAATTAGAATTAAAGGATGCGTATTGTCTGTTGCTAAAGATAACTCTTTGGCTATAATTTCTTTGGAAGAGATGAGCTGGTAAAAGTTCAATCATTTATATTATATATACATTTATTTATCTTTATTTACCATTAGTATACATTTAATATAGTTTATATGTATTTGGAGGTTATCAATATCCATTAAATACAATCCAATGGAGAACTTCTGAAGGGTCTATAGTCTTATTTTATAAAGATGACTCGGCTCATATCTGGCAGGTTTGGTACAAAATTTCTTGAAATTCACTTTTTATTTTCTTTTTAACAAAAGATTTCTTATAAATTATTATTGTTTCCTATTTCTAGACACAAACGTCGGAACTTATTCAAATAGTTGCTGGTTCGGCTGCAAGAGACATGTTAAAAGATCATTCATGGAGGACGAGGTTTGATATTTATTACCGTTCCTTCATGCTCAGAAAGATATAATGACATTTAATTTATTTATAGTTCAGTGGAGAAACAAGAATCAACCACAGACAGAAACAGCAAAGTCAAAACTTTGACATCTTTTACAGATAATTCAGCAAATGAAGGTATGATAAATTAATTTAATATATTTTGTACATATCCTAACTATTATGCTTTTCTAAATGGTAGGCACAACGGTTCAGGTTTTTATAATAAATGTTAAACAACTTATAAATGATATTTATCATTATCATGTGTCACAATTTGGTTCAAAACCTAATAATTTAAATGGATCAAATGGAATAAATGAAGATTTTGATGAAAAGCCATCAACAATGTCCAAGATATTTTCATGGACAACTGCTGGAGCTTCACAATCATCATCCGTTGCTTCTATTCCTTCTCCAACCGAAACGGAAACTAAGGCCATTGACTCCAGTATCGTTCAAGTCATAGTATCTGCTTTGATGACATGGGGAATTGATAGCTCTCTAGACAAATTGTGTACAGAGAAATTAGGTTTAAAAAAACCTTCAAGCCAAGTAACTTTTGGATTGAGAGGGTAAAAGAAAATTTTATCATTCTGCCTTTTTTTTTTTCCTTTTTCATATGCTAAGGATGCTAGTAAACAAATAGTGCAAATGGTAATTTGACAATTGCTGTTCCTTCTCCTAATGATGGCACGGCAGCATGGAAGATATCACAAACGATGTCAGCGTCACGTTTATTGTCAATCATTGGGCTAATACGTTCATTTCTTTCCATGAAAGGTAATTTATTATTTTTGCATAAAATTAGCGCAATATTTTTCGTTTACAAGATTTCTAATTAAATATTTATAGGATTGGAAAAATATTCAAGTGATATTATAACACACTATGGATCATTATTACCAGAACTTGTTGGAGAAAAGTTTTATCATTCTTCTCTTGCATTTCTTGCAAAGTATTTTCAAGATCCAGTTGGTAAGCTTAAATATAGTTTAGCCAAAGATGGCGAAATAGAAAAGAATATAATTAAATTGGTTTTTTTTTTATTTATTAGAGGACATAAGGACATCAGCAAGGGCGCTTTTTCAAACAACGTTAAATAATATGCCATCCTCAGAGTTACAATCAATCATTGACTATTGGAAACAGTTTTGTGAGTTTGCGTGTTCAATAATATTTTTCCTTATTAAGAAAATTTTTGCTTATTTATTTCCTAATTGATTTGATTTAAGTACCAGCAGTCACTTCGCCAGATATTTATACTAATCAGTATATGGCTAGATCTACTATATTGCTTGGAATGATTGGGTCGGATCATCCAGAGTTTTTATCAAAAACGTTTGTAATCTTTTATTTTAAAAGGCTCACCTTGTTCAATTATATACCGTTTTCAAACTAATGTTTATTTTATTTTTCTTTAGAGTTGCAAAGAATATTGCATTGTCATTGATTTTATTATTACATGATGATTCCAAATTATCACATCGATTAGCCGCACTTGAATTATGCGGAAGAGGATTTTCAACTTGGGAGCCTCATATCCTTTATTTTTTTTTTTTTTGTGGGATTCTTTTAAGAAAAATTTTATTTATTCCTTAACTTTCGAATTTTCTGATCTTATACATTTTGATGCCGTGGCGGTGTTGAGGACGATATTTGCGTTAGCAATAGATACGGAAACAAATGCTGTAACGGTTAAGGCAATGGCACAAAAAGCCATATTTCAAATATCAATAGCTAACACCCCATTATGTATATCAACATTAATATATGATACAAATAATTCAAAGAAACCAACAGAAAATGTGGGATTTTTAAAATTAATATCACTATTCATACGTAGGAAACCATTAGTTCTACATGAACATTTATCTGGATTGGTTGAAGCGGTAGTAAAGTCTCTAGATCCTAACGTACCAAAGATGAGAGATAGAGTATTACAAACCACAACAAGTGTATTACATGATTTAGTTAAAACATTTCCTTCAATTGCTTTTCATGGTGGTTCACAAAAATTAGCTGTTGGTACACTTGAAGGTGCTTCGATTATTTATGATTTGAGAACCGCAACTAGGTGGCATGTATTAGAAGTAAGCTAATGCGGGTGAAGAGTTGCTTTAATGAATAATTTTCTCTTTTCTCAACTCACTTATATTTAACAAAAAAAAAAAAAACGTTTTTTAGGGACATACAAAACCAGTTACTGCGTTAACGTTTTCAGGAGATGGACAATTAATTGTATCTTGTTCATTGGAAGAAGGCACGGTAAGGGTATGGAATCTAAATCCTGGGCTATTTGGAATGATCGCAGGATCATTAACAAATAGTAATGGAGGAAATAGTAATGGATCATCAAGAATAGATGTTGCTAAAGGATTTAAAGCACCTTTATTAAGTTCTATTAAACCTTTTAAAACATTCAGTTTTAATCTTGGTGAAGATGGTAGGTTGAAATTATGTTTAAATCGTAGATATTATTACCCCCTTTTTTTTTTGCTAAGTTATTTTGTTTTCAATTTAGCATATTTATCCGTTTCTTCAATATTAGAATTTGTTGAGTTTGAATGGGTAGCTGATCGAACTGTAAAATTTTATGTTAAGGATTCAATAATGTCATTTAATGTATAACAACATGTGATAGAAATTAAATTAATTATTATTGAATGTAACATTATTGCTTTTTTTTATAGAAATAATTCTTTTAAATATTAACAATTTTTTTTTTTATTTTAAAAAAAATTATTAAATTATATAAATAGGAATTTTTAAATTATTATTATTATTAAAATAACTCTGTTTAAACTTTTTTATCAATTAATAAAAAAAAATAAAAAGATATAAAAATAAAAATAAATATTAATTTGATACTTTTTTAACTAATAATAGCTTTATATAAAATTAAATTAAAATATACATTTCTATTATTATTTATTGTATTTTAAAAAAAATATATAAAATTAAACAAAAAACTTATCATTATTATTTTTTTCTTAATTAAAATATTTTTAAAGTTGATTGATAAGTATAATTTATTAAATATTATAATTTTAATTAAAATAGTTATTAAATTATATTTATTTTAATAATATATTTAATTATTAATATTAATATAATTAATATATATATATTTTATCAATAAAAATATTTTATATATAATAAATTAAAATAAAATAATACATTTTGATTGATAAAATCCTAAATAATAATATATATTAAATGATTATAAAATATATATTATTATTGGATTTATTATTAGTTTATTAAATATATTAATTAGAAAATTATAATATTGTTACATAAAGAAAACATGAATAATGATGATTTAAAGGATGACATCGATCCCTAAGAAATTATATATATCATCTATAGCACATATTTCTTTTATATAATATATTTCTTTTACTTATTTTATTTTATTTATATTATATATTTATTATATTTTATTTATTTTATATATTTTATTTATTATATTTATTTCTTTTATATCTTTGATAACTTTATATTTTTCATTTTATATAAATAGAAAACAATTTCTTTTAGCTTAATGATGTATCTGACTTATAGTTTTATTAAATAGTTTAGTTTAATTCTCTTAACATAATTGTATAGTAGAGAGTGCTAACTGAGGTAGTACTCTATTGTTATAGTTATTAAATAAGCTGTTAATTTACTGACACTCTTCTAAATCTAATTACCAAATAAACCTTCTGCTTACTACTCATAAATATTGCTTCGCTTATCACTCATAAGCATATTAAAGAATTGATCATAACGATATTTAATTCTATTTATAAGAATTTATAACTTTGAATTTTTTACTATTAATATAAATTTAAGATTTATTTAATTAAATTTAATTAATGCTATATATTATAATCAAATTTTAGATAAGAAAATATTAAAGAAAAAAGTATATATAGAATTTTAATTGATTTTTTATTTAATATTTGTAACTTATAAAAAAAAAGTAAAATTCCAATTTAAATCATAAGTTATTCTATTTATATACAAAAATTATTTATTATGATTAACTATCTGTTATATTATTAACTTACTAAATTTTTAAATTTTAAATAATATATAATAATTAAATAAAATAAAAAATTAAAAAAAAAAAATTTAATAATAATAATAAAAAGTAATTTTAATAATTATATAATAAAATAATAATTTAAAGAATTCAAAAATAAGACAAATTTAATAAATCTTATAATCTAATAAATATTTTAAATTGGTCTGATTTTTTAATGTAATATTATATTAATTAATTTTATATAATATTATTTAATAATTCTTATATATAATATATTTATAATTGCAATAGAATTTATTTTTAATGTTAATAATATATATAAAAATTATTTTAAAAATAAAATTAAATATAATTAATTAAATACCTTAAAAATTATTAATTATTTATTTTTTGAAATAATATATATAAGTAAAAATATTAAGCAAATTAAATATATTATAATAATATCTATTAAATATTTTTAAAAATAAGTATTACATATGTTAAATCAGTAATGGATTTTAGATATAGTTTTAGATTTTAAAAGTTTTAGACTTGATTTTAGACATAAAAAAAAGTGTTTAAATCTATTCAAATATATCTAAAACTATTCAAAATTGTCTAATTGTCTAATACTATATTAAGCTATTTTCATTAATTAAATTCTAATTATTAAAGAAAAAAATAAATGAAATAATTTTATAATAATCATTATATATTTTTATGTAAAATTCTTTTATTTAATTTTTAAATCAAAATAATTTAAAATTTTAATATATTTAAATACTATTTATTAATAAAATAAAAGAATAAAAAAGTAAATACTTAATTAATTTATATTTATTAATAAAATAAATTTAAAATTTAATTATTTAATTATAAAAATATATATAATAAAAAGAAAAAAATTACCAAAAAAATTTTTTGAGTTAATAAATATTAAATTTGAATTTATTTTTAATTATCTTTATATTTAAATCGAAAGGTTATGACATTTGATTTTACTTATTTAAATTTATGATCTTAAATTATTTTTTGATATTCATTATACTTGAATCAACTTGATGATTTATTATTTTTTAGAATTTAAGATTTATTTAGTTAAACTTAATAATAAATTCAAAAGTAAGTTAGTATAAAATATCATAATAAATTCTAAATAAGAAATAATGTTAAAGGAAAAAGTAATTTTTATAAGTTTTAATTGATTTTTTTATTAATAACTTAAAACTTGTATAATTATAAATAAGTTTTAAAAACTTACAAAAAAGTTAATTTACAACTTAAGTAAAAAGTAATATAATTTATATAAAACTATTTTACTATGACTAATTATTAGCTATAAAATAAAAAAAACTTATAAAATAAAATCTAATAAAAATATTAAAAATAATATAAATAATAAAGATAATAATTTTAGTGAAAATAATAAATATTTAAAGAATTTAACAAATTAAACCAATGAGATAAATCAGATAAATTAAATAAATTCTACAAATATTACAAATCTAATAAATCAGTCTAATTTTCTGATATAATATATTGATTAATTTTGATAATGTAATGTAAAATAATAATTTTTGCAAAGCATTTACTAAAGTGAATTTTTTAATATTAACAATGTTAAATCTGAGTTTATTTTACTAAAAAAATAAATTTAACTTATAAAGTAAAAAAAATTTTTTTAGTAGTTTTTTCCTTTTTTACTAAGTATTTATATAATCAAATTTTTTTAAATACATCCTTTTTAAAAAATTTTAAAAATATATATTTAATAAGTATATGTATTTATATATTTAAAAAAATTTTTATATAATTTTTATATACTTAAAATTAAAAACATATTTTTAAAAAGAAAATATATAGTATATATATATTTAAAAAGGATATATTTAAGAGATTTAACTATATATTATTTATTATAATTTATATATATAATATAAATTTAAATTTATACTATATAATTATATAGATTAATAATATTTTATCAATTTTTAAAATTTATAATTATTAAAATATATTAATTTTTTAATTTTTAAAAATAATATTATATAATAATTATTTAAAATAAAATTTATTTTATTGGATTCATCTTATTAAGATTCATTAAATGATAGTAATTTTATATTTTTGAGATTAATTTATCAATTATTTATATTTAAAAAATCACTAGTTAATTACATTTTTTTTTAATTTTTACTTAGAAAATATCATAAAATTTATTATAAAAATATTAAATTTTTTAATAATAAAATTTATAAAAATAATTAAAAATGATTTTAATTTGTAAATAAAATTGTTTACAAATTAATAAGCAAAACAATTAAAAGGATAAATCATTAATAATATATATTTGTTTTTTAAATATTATATTATAAATAAAAATGAAAAAAGAGAAGAAACTAAGAAAAATATATACATACAGTAAGATGTAATTATATGATATAGTTTTAAAAGAGTATAAATAAACAGGTTATTAGAATAAGTAAAAGGATAGTTATCAAGAATTAATCAATCATGTAATTATTCTTTAAGAACTTTTTTTAAAATAAATTTCTTTTTTTTTTTACTAATTTCCTTTTATTTTTTTTAAGAATAAATATGGAGGGTGGTCAGTAGAAAAGGGGAAAATCCACTTTTTAGTCAAAAATTTTTTTATTGATTTTGTAGATTTTCCCCTTTTCTATTGACCGCCCTCCATATGATTTTTATATGCTAAATGTTATTTTTTATATATAATTACTTTGATGCAAATATAACATTTTTTATTATTAACTCATCTTTTTATATTTCATTCTAATAGAATTGATTTTTAAAGTTTATGAATTAGTATTTAATGATTCAATTTTAGCTTTTTAATGATATGAGCTTATTGGTTTTTTTTATCTCTATTATAGATGAGGGACGAAAGTATCCGTATACAAAAATATATATATATATTTTTAAAGTTAAAAACATTTTTATTAATAATTTTTCTATTCTATTTAAAATATTATTAATCAAAACTTTATTGCTAATTCTAATATATTATTAACAAAGTAATTATAAGATGATCATTTTCAGCACAAGTTTGAGGAATTCTGTATATTAGAGAATTCACATTTACATGATCAAATGCATTAAGAATTTTTTATAAAACAGCCTTTAACTTTAATTAGTTAGAACCTATAAATGTTAATATCTTATGAAATATTAATATAGAGATTATAGAAACCTCCTCAAAATAATTTCGTCATACCCTTTTCTATGTTTTTAATATAGTTTCGACAGTTTCGGTTTTCGTCGTATCGAAAGGTTTCGTCGTATCCCTTATTATGATTTTAATATAGTTTCGTCTAAGTATCGACTGTTATTAAGGAGTTTCTTCAGAGTGGTTCACTTTCTAAATACATAAAGTAATGCGAAAATTATGTTGATCCTGTAGTTGATATGGTGCACAAGAAAAAATAAAAAGTCAGGTAATGATATAGTTTAAAATGAATTAAGTAAGGACTTAATCTGATGAACGAAGGTTAGGGCATCTGAAAATTTTATTTGAAAAAAAATTTCTGAATAAAATTATAATAATTCGGTAAATAAAGTTAAAATATGGCAAGGTCATTTATTATTAGTAGAATAATAAAAGTGCACTTTTTTCTTAAATATTTATTTAGAAATTATATATCTTTTATAAATAGTATGATTCAATATAAATAATGAAAAAAGAAATTATTACAAATAATTATAAATAAAAAGTTCATTATGTGCCACATTTACCTATTCTCTTCCAAAATTACCCACCCATATTTTACCACAAATTAATTAACTTGCTCTAAAAATTTCAGTTAATAATTGTCTAAAATTATTAAATTGTTGTTCCGATACATTTTTACTTAATAAAAATGTAACGGTTTTGGTTTCTTGTTCTTTTTCTGTTACATGTTTTGGTACCCTTGAATTGTTCATCATAAATCCTTTAGTACACTTTAATACTACTTCTCCTCTTCTTATAAGTAAACTTTCATCAGCTTGATCTGTTGCCGTAAATACATCAACATGTGATGGTAATAATAGAATTGGCAATGAAATGGTTGTTATGTCAAACCTATCAATTGTTCTTAATATGTTACGCAACCCACTTATTGCATTTGATCTTGGTGTAAGTTCCGATTTTTGAATTGCTAAGAGGAAAAAAAAAATTTTTTTAAAATTAACATCCCTTTTATAAGAAATTATTAAAGGAACAGCTTACATTCGGATTCAATCACCAAATGAAATACAACATGAATTAAAGGTAAATTTGAATGCCTTGTAATAAAGAAGTCTCCTATAAATATTAGAATTAATTTAATTATACTTTAAAATATTATTAATCTTAATTTTAATAACAATAAATTTTTTTCGCTATTTAGATTTTCTTGCCTTCATGTATAACGGAGTTTGGGGTTGTAAAGTCTTTTTCAATGGCGTCAAATTGTGATTCTATGTCTTCAAAATGAAAATCTGTCGATTCCTTACATCTCTCAAAAAATTCTGTCATATAAAAGATAAAAATCAATTTAAATTTAAAGAAATCCTTTTAAGAAAATGTTCTTGGCAGATAATTTACCTTTATTAGCACTTCTTCCTAGTTTATAATTTGGCCAATCACTTGGCGTTAATAGTAAAACGATCGCCGTTAAGTTTTGAGAATATAAATTAGCAGCTGTTTGAGCTCTATACGCCATATCACGAGCAATGTCATTGGATGAATTGAGCAGGTCTTCGGTTTCAGATACCAAAAGTCGAAGATTATGGGTTGATTTCACCTGATTTCCAAGGGAAATTGTAAATGACTCGACAAGATTATCTATTTGTAAGTTTGAGCCTTGGCTTTTTTGATTATAATTGTGATGATGAAACGAAAAAAATGGATCAACATTGATTATTGGCCAGCATATCTTTCCATATATTGCAATGGAACATGGTATAGAGCAATTGATATAAAAATATTCCAACCCGTTCCCATCTCCTTCAAGACTCTTTCTACCTAGCCATCCACTGAATTTTCTTACTGACGATGTTGAAGTATTTGGCGAACCCAACATTTGATGTTTTTGCTGAAAAAAGTTTATCGGTGACCAGGTGGTTTTCTTTTCTTGTTTGGTAAGGATCGTCAATCCCGTCCTTCGTTGAGATTTTGATCGTTTGCCAATACTTTCCGGTTGTTCCTTCAAAGGCGAGCTCACAAAAGGAACGGAAGGACGTCGAGGTATAATAGCTGAAGCGTTCGCTATTTGATTGTTTATTTTATCTGGTTGTTCTATCAAAAGACTCACCGCATGTTCCTGAATCCATATATTATTCATTAGTTATGATTAAGAAGATTAATATAAATAAAATTTGTAATCACCATATTTCCTTTTGTCATCTCTAAGGCCACTATAGCTTGCTTCTGATTAAATCCCATTTCTTGAATCTTTAATACCCGAAGATCATCCTCCTATCTCAACAATTAATAAAAGTCAAGTTACTAGATGAAATGGATTTTCTTAAAAAAGTATATATTATCTTTTCTATACCACAGTCATATATAATCTGAATATTTTCACACATTAAAATAGGCCGGTTTCTTGTCTTCATTGAATGATGGAGATGTTGGTGACATCAAAGTTGGCGATAGTATGATATCTGATAAAGAACTAATACTTCCATGACGGCTACGAGTTCCACTTCCTTGAACCAATTGCAGTATTTGTTTTGACAGCCCTTTGTGACATTTTTTCATATCTGTTATAACTTCACCAACAATCTCTTTTACATCCAATTGGAATACCCAATTTGGATCTGTTGTTGATTGATTTGCGATTAACCATCGTTGGTGTGCTTGATAAAGTTTAATCACAAATTCGCAATACTCTTTTCTCTGTAATCTCTTAATATCTTCAAGTTCGCTGGCCAAGGTGGCATGATTATATTCAACATCCTAATGAATATTTGTAATGATTATAATTACAATCGAGTGCACAAACATGCAATGTAACGAAAATTACGATTTTTACCTCGCGATGTTTTTCCATAAGTAAATTTACGATCCCACTAGTTTGACTAGGTTCCATTTCTTTCTGATGTCTTATGAATAATTGAACAAATATGATTAAATTTGAAATAAAAAAAAAAAAGGAATACATTCAATGTTGAAATTTACCTGTCCATTATACCTTCCAATTCTTTTTCTTTGGAGGATACTAAATCTTTGATTACTTCCTTATAACATTGTTCTAATTGTAAAAGTGAGTCGAATAATGATGGTACAGGAGAATGAACAAGTGTATGGTATGCTTTAGGGAAAATGTTCTAGCATAAATAAAAAAAAAATGCAGATTAACAAAGAGAAAAACAAAAAAAAAAAAAAAAAAAAAACGAAAAAAAACGAAAATCAATTCGCTTAAAAAAAAGAGATTAAATACCTCTGCGGGAGATTCGTTATATCTTATTGTGTACTTTTTATACTTAGCTATAAGATTCTCACGAACCCTTGTTGCATCTAGTTCATCTTGAACTAAAAAAATCAATCACAAGTAATTCACTTAGCAATACAATAAAAGGAAAAAAATAAAAAAGGTTGTATTAAATAAATACTTTTTGAATCTCTTTCCGCGTCTTTACGCCAACTTTCGACCATTAATGATTCAATGATTGAAAGGATGGAGTTCTCTAGATAACATGGAACATTGTATGCGTTCATAAAACGTCTAACAACCTCCATCAATAATTGGTCTTTTTTAATTTGAATCGTAAGCCTTGTTGGAGCATTATTGGGAGGAAGAGTTAAGGTGAGATCAACCGATAGGTCCTTTAACACTTTAGTTGGTGTCATTTTATTATTACAAACTAGCATTGATAATAAGGGAAGGAAAAAAAATAAGAATTGAAAAGAAAGAAAGAAAGAGAGAAAGAAAAAAAGAAAAATTTGATATATGCATTTATGTTGACGAGAAAAACAAAAAAACTTTTTTTATTGTGACACGAACAAAGTTATTGGTCAAAAGTATGATCACATGTTTGTTATTTTTTTTTTTGATATATTTTTTGTTACACGACATCGAACAAAAACTTATTATCAGTAGATGTCGCTTGACAAGTGTATTATTAATATGGTGAAACAAAAAACCCACCTCCGATGTAATGCATCGAGAAGATCGTAAATCCCAAAATATGGGGTTATCTTTTTTTTTTTTTTTTTAAAAAAAAAAAAAAATGGATTTTAATATCAAGAATAATTCTCGATTACGAACTTTTAATCAAAATAATAATGAACAAACAAATTACTTCTAAATAAAAGAAATTTTAAAAAAAATCAAAGTTTCGCATTTTTTTTGTTGAATCGAATTTCACTTTCTTCACAGAATACCGCGTTCATTCTTTATTTATTCGCATAACTAATGCATTGACGCAAAGACAATATGCATTATGTAATACGCATCCTGCGCCAGCATAAAATAAGGAACTGTCTACATTGCATCGAATTTGATACTTACCTAATTCAGACATTCTATTCATATTTTTATTATATAATTTTTTAAAGATATTATATAAATTATTTTATTTTATTAATAAATTATATCAACATATTACAATATTATTGGTTTTGAAAAAAAAAATATTATTAATAATAAATGTAATGTATGCGTCGTTGTATCTTTCAATTTCAATTAGTTTTTTTTTTGTTTATAATTACTTAAGTCAACCGATATTCTTACATTATTATAATAAAGCTCGTGTATTAATTGTTTATATTCCTGGTCACTTAAAAGTTTAGAAACCAGTTAATTTAGGATTTTATGTAATTACAATGGGCAAATTCATTGTTCTACGCAGATACTTGTTAAAGTTAATAATAGCATATAATAATCGTAATATCACGAGAGGTGAAGAAGGTGGTTAAAGAACTGGGAAGATTTTATTAATGATATTTCGCAACTTTACTCTGTAAATATTTCCAATTCAAGTTGTCCAATACTATGTAATGAAAAACAAAAATGAGGTATTATCATTTATTCTTTGTTTGAAAATGTCAATGGTCCGTGTCGAATTGATCTTTAACTAACAGCACCAATGCCAATAATAATGTTTTGTAACGATAAAATTTATTATTTCGGCGAGATGGTTTGAAAGGTATCATGTTTTATATATAGTCGCGAAGAATCTGTTTTTTCTTAATTTGTATAAATTTCTTATTAAAGTTCATCAAATGGAAGGAATAATTCAGTTTTTTAAACATTCTTTTTCTTGAGTTGACTTTAAATACGGAATTATCCAAAAGAATAAATATACAAAAGCTCAGATTTTTACCTGCTCTTGAAACATCTTTAAGAAACGCTGTGAACTATCTTTTTACATTATCGTGAGATATTTAAAGGGAGATTGTTTCATTTCGTGAAAAGTTTCCTCGTTGTTTTTCCGTTTAAAAATAAAATAGAAGGTAGAGGGGTTTAAAATAATCGAAAATTTTTAATCTTTTTATATAGATTTGGCAATTTAATTAACCCAATTTGGTAAACTAACAATGATTTCGTAACGTGATTTTGATAGAATATTTTTTTTTTGACATCAAATGGATCACGAATATGGTAAAGGTTAAATCATTTCCTTTTGAAATATGACAGACGAGGGAAACGGGTTAAACTCATTGTTATCAAAGTTTATGCATGAGCAGAATGCTGCGCCATCCGGAATCATCAATTAAGGATTACATGATAACCGATAAGGTTATTAAAAAAATGCCATTGTTATCTATTTTAACACTAGTAAAGTTTGTTAAAAATGTTTAGTAATAACAAACAAGCAAACTTTATTGCGAAAGCAAACAATTCAAATGAAATTAAATTAATTCATTCATACCCGAGAGTGATTTACAGTGCCTTACGCAGATCGAATGATAGATCATATAATTCAATTCATGCAACTTTCACATTAAAAGCTCGTGAATCTTTTTGAACTGTGGAAGATGAAAAATTTTCAAGATAAATCCTCGTGTTACCCATGCCATATGTAGTTTGGTTGATCGACGATCTTTAGATGGTATGTAACACAAATCACAAAACGAACTATATTATTTTGATTTCATTCTCTGCAAACTTAAAAATGTTCAGTATGTTGAGTTTTCCCCAGAGAAATTTCATCCTTAATAACAAAAGAATCCGATTGGAGTAAAAATTGTGGAAAGGTTTAAAATTACCAGAAGATTCTCAATGACGCCTTAAAAGTTTTTCCTGATGGTAACGATGTACTTATTTAGAAACACTACGAACGCCCAAAAGCAAAAGATTTAGACGATGTTCGAATTTAAGTAGTGGCGAAACAAAAAAGGTGTCATGTGGTTACACTCAACCTCAACAATGAATTCATTGTTTTGATTTAATATTTCCAAAAATATTTGACTGTACGATTTTTGAAATCAAAGATAATGAATAAAGATTATAAAGGTAAGATTAAAAATGTTTAAAAACAAAGGTCAATTCTTTGTTTATAGTTTATAGAGTATTTTGATGGATGCTGCGCCTCCTCAATTGATTCGTTCGTTTTTAATTATTGATCAATTCTAACCCAATTGTCGGTTACTCTAACTTTTATTAGAGTTTGTAAAGACGTAGGTAATACAGGGGGAACAAGTAAACCTTCGATTATAATGCAATGGGCTTTTTTTAATGATAATTGATGCAAACAAAGAAATTTCGTTTTTCTTCTTTTAAAAAAATTTTTTTTTTTTTTTAAAAAAAAAATATCATTATTTTTTATTGTGATAATGTCTCATGTTAAACATAAATTAATTAACCCATTCTCACAGTTACCCGTGTAAAGTGATTTACTGTACCTTTCGCAGATCGAAATGATAGATAGAAAATTTTTATTCATGCAACTTTCACATTCACACTCGTGAATATTGGTTTAACCGATAAAATTTTTCAAGAATCGAATGAACGAAATTTGTTTCAAATAGATGTAAATCTTCGTGAGTAACATAATTTTTTTTTTATTAATGCATTGATAATATATTTATCATGACGGTTTTGACAGTTCTATTTTATTTTTATTTTCTTTCGATCGACGACCTTATATAGAAAAGTTTCAAAAATGTGTGAAACGTTCAAAAACGCATATATATATAATCGAATGACTTAAAAATAATTTGGTAATAACCATTATTCTCAAAACCGAAAATTCTTTTTTTTTTTTTTTCTTTTCCTCTTCTTTTTTTTAAAATTAAAAAACGAAAAAATACAAAAAAAAAAAGAAATTACAAAAAAAAAAAAAAAGAAAAAGAGAATAACATCATCATCATTCTGTTCATCATTTCTGCTGTAATTTTAAAAATCCTTCCTATCTTTTCTAAACCATTTTTTTATATACATAAATGGTGAGTACATCAATAAGTAAAACCGTTTTCATGAATAAATGCGAGTTTTTGGATTATTAATAATAAGAAGATGGGGGGTGCGTCTTTCATTTTGCAGCTTACAAGTTATTTGACATCATTAAATCCACTCCGATATTTGATGCCCGAAAATACCGGATTGTCCCGTTCAACGTATTATTCTCAATTGCAGAGAAATCTTCCAATGGGTACATTTAGTTGGAAGGTTTCATCGTTTCAACAATACATTAAAAATTGTGGTACGGGTGACATATTCTATAGTCCGAGGTTCACGATTCCTCAACTTCAATCCACATACGCAAATACGGCGAATTATGACAATTCGCCGCACATTTCTCAATGGCGACTTAAGGTCTTCCCCAATGGTAATGACACATATGATTACATATCCGCTTACCTGGAAGCAATACAAACCCCTTATGAGAAACGACATAACATAAAGGTTCGTCCGGCAAAGTTCAAATTATTTTTAGAGATGGTCGATTTAAATAAAAATCCACGAAAGAATATCTTGATCGATTCGGATACAAATCATACAATTTTAGAACATAAATTCGAATTTGATAATGATGAATCCGATTTAGGTTATCGTCGACTATGTCTAATCAATCAATTGTTCCCCGATGGTAATAAATCACGTGATATCGATTTGATCTTTCACGTTCATTTCATCACTTGTGATGATCCGTTAATGGATGAAGCCTTAAATATAAATCAGAATGAAAAATTCTTTGAAAATGGTGCATTCGCGGATGTCGGTTTCATCCTAGATTGTGGGAGGGTCATCAAAGCTCACAAGATCGTGTTAGCAAGTGGAAGTGCTTATTTCGATAAAATGTTACAAGGTGGTTGGATAGAAGGCACGGCAAAAATCATTAAATTACATAATTGGAAATATGAAACTTTCAAGTCCATACTTTATTATATTTATACTCACAAATTAGTAAATAATGATGATATAGAATTATTAAAAGAAATTTACATCAATAGTGATATGATCGGTTTGGTTAAATTACAAAATTTAGCGAAAATGAGGTTAGTGCAATTAATATCACTTGATAATTGGGAACAAATTTTATTATTTGGCTGGGAACATGATGATTTGATTCTAAAGACATGTGGTTTGGACTTTGTTTCTTCCAATTATCCAAAGATTAGAAATTCTGATGCCATGAAGACAATTCTTGATACTAGAAATATTGAATGGATTGAAGAACTTATGGCTGTTGCCATGATAAAAATTTGAAGAATTTTCCGATATTTCGAGATAATGTTTTCTAGAAAAAAGTATATTTAATTAATTTAATCTGACTTTTGCGTCGAAAAAAAAAAAAAAAAAACAAACAAACAAAAACAAAAAAAAAATAAGAAAATAAAACGAAAAAAAAAAAATATATATATATATATATAAGATTAGAGTTATAGAAGAAAATTTATTATTTAATCCTTTTTTTTTTTCCTATCAATAGAAATAAAATATTTTAACGGAAAAATTAATAAAATTGTGAATAGATAAAAAAAAAAAACTAAATGTATTAGTATTTAGCTGATGATAAAGTAATACATTTTTAAGAAAAAAATAGCAATACTTATTTTTATTGATACTTTTTTTAAATTTTAAGTTGTAAATATTGTTAATGAACTGTATGCTTATTTAGAAATGCGAAGTTCGTATTTATAGCAACTTCTGATGTTTATAGAATTTTTTTTTTTTTAATAGTTTTATTTCACATAATTTATAAGTACAAGTTGAATATTTATATTTAACTTAATACAAAAAAAAAAAAAAAAAATGTCACGTAATTCATTCATTTAAAAGTTGTGTAACCCCATTGTATCTAGGAACAAACCTAACATGATAATTAACTGGCCAACTAGTTAATCCATATGTGCCATTATTCAAATCAATTGGGATAGGTTTTCCATCTTCACCCGTGGGCGATGCATTTTCAATATTAAAGCAATAAAGAATACGTGAAAAAATAATAAATAATTCATATTCAGCCTAAAAAAAAAAAAAATAATAATAATAAATTATAATTTAGGTTGCAAATAAAAAAAATTCGTAAACTAAAAAGTTATTTACCAAATGAATTCCAACACAGAGTCTTCTTCCAGCTCCAAAACTAAAATGGTCTCTTTTTTCAGCAGCTCCATTGGCAAAGCTTGCCATACTTTGCTCAACATTGATAAACCTATACGGATCAAATTCCATAGCATTTTTATGACGTTTTTCATCAAATCCAATTGCATGAGCATTAATAAGGATTAGAGAGTTTGCCGGAATATAATAACCATTATATTCATCATCTTGTTGAACGCAATGATGGACTCCCGTCCAAGTTGGTGGAAATACCCTTTGGCCTTCTCTGATCAATGCTCTAATATAAGGGAGACTTTTAGAATCAGCAATAGTTGGGAGTCGATCACGTTTAGGAATGAGCGCGTCAAGTTCTTTGTGTGCTGGTTCTTGAAACGAAGGATTATTTGCCAAGAACGCTAATAACCATGTTATACTTGATGCTACTGTATCCTAAAAAAAGATAAGACAAAGTGAACATTTTTTACGAAAAAAAAAAAAAAACATAAAATTAATGAATAATTAGATATTTACCGTTCCGGCAAAAACGAGACCTCCAAATAGGTGAACAATTTGATAATCTTCTAATTCTCCTCGTTCATAAATTTCTCTCGCAGCACATGGATTTTTATTTTTTCCTGATTTAATATTATCAAGAATTTCACCAAAGATCGAATCAATATCATCTCTGACAGACAACGCATCCTGTAAATCAATATAACAATATTATTATAAGATAATCATAATGCTAGGGATAAATATCTTTTAAAAATTAAAAAGCGTCCATGTCACCTGTTTCACTTTATTCTTTGGATGATATTTTATTATCGGGAAATATTCCAATTTCCTATTTGCATTTGCGTACAGCATTGTAAGATTATGCACGAATTTATCGATTCGTTTGAATAATGGGTCATCAATACTTGTAGTATGAATTCCGAAAACTACATCTAAAACTACATTTAAAGATGTACGACGAAGGTACAAACGTGGGTCTACTGGTTCAGGATTTGACGAGGAAGTTGAGGCATGAATTAACTCTGTTAATGTTTCTTTTGTCACTTTATCTATCAAGGGGCTATAAAATTCGATTTTTTGTGGTGAAAGGACTCCGACACCTATTTGTTTTCGATAAAAAAGGATTATCCTTTACTAAACAGAAAGTCATAATTTTTTTGTTTATCATTCAAATCATTTACTTATTGTTCTCATTTTCTTATAATAATCGGTATATGGACAGCTGCCAAGGTTAGATCCTCTTGTTATGATATGATGATAATATTCCGAATCCATTCTTGACGAGTAAATTGCTCCTCCTAAGTGAAAAAAAAAGAAGCCAATTTTAAAGGTATCGATCACATGTTCTCTAAAGAATATCATTTATTTTTTGACTTACGTTTTTGAATTAATTCTCCAACAACTTTATCATTATTTAATATAATAAAATTTAATCTGCCCAACTTTATCGAGTAAATTTCGCTATTTAATTCTTTAGCCCATTTTGTTAGACTAAAGGATTCATTATTATTAGAATAATAATAATAATTATAATGGTTGCAATAATGATAAAATAAACTTACGTTTCATGTGGTTTGAAACCAAGTAATCTGTAATGACCTACACATTATAAATTTTCATCCTTAATAAAATAGCTTTAGGTACTTTAATTTGAAGATTTATGAAAAAAATTTACCAAAATAAAATTCGGACCCCTTAGGTGAAGGAAGAGGTTTAAGTCCTTTAGGAATCGAGGGTCTCTTGGCAAAGTAATACCATAAACCGAAGAAAATCGCGAGTAAGATATATGAGATCATTTTTTTTTTAACGAGTAAAAAAAAAAAATTTGGGAGTTTGAGAACCACCGGCTACTTTTTATTAACTTGATAATTATAATTAATTTCTAAAACTGCAAATTAAATACGGTATTTGCGTGCTTGGATCCATTTATTTTAAAAATAACTAATTGAAACTAATTTAATTGATCAGTGATAATCATTACAAATATAATTTGGTGAGAACTCCACACAATTAATTTTTTTAGAGAATGTAATATCGAAATTAAGATATCAATCATACAACATCACATGAATATCAATCATTACAAGTAGGGAATGATGTGACGGGCATGGATTTTGCGAATATAGATATTCCCGTGATTTTTTTACAATTAACCATGATCGGGCAGTTTTTATTATACAATATTGATTTAGAAATTAATCAATTATATTTATTATAAATAGCCTTCTACATTAAATAAATATATCATGTCATTTTATGTAAAATTTCATATAGTCGTTGATTTTTAAAAAAAACATAATAACAATTTATGACTTTATAAATTTACATTGTAATTCCATCAGAATATAACTAAAATATTGAGAAAAACGAAATTATTAAAAAAAAAAATTTGGAATAATTATTACGTGATACCGGATAAATCACTTACCCGGCACTTTAGAATGTGGTTCCTGCGGAGCTCAAAATCAGCCAATCAAATACGATTTACCATAAATAACAAGTTATTAGGCACAAATAACCATTCTGGGATAGTTTATTTTGAATAGAATCAGCCAATCATTTATCTTATTCCTTAAATAACTAGTTTTAAATGCTTATTCGGCACACATAGACGTTAATATTTTTAAGAAAAAGATGATATGAGGAAATTTTTAAATTGATTTTAAAATAATTTGCGTAAATTTGTTGCTTTTAAGAGATCTTGAACTATTTTTTTTTTGAGTAAAAATTTATATACGAGTATTAAGATAAAATTTTTTTCCGTAAATTTTTATGTTATATTTTATAATATTTTTATATAAATAAATATAAAATAATTGCGCATACATTTATGAATATGCATTTAAAAGGTTATAAAAAAAAAAATAAATAATAGCAGATAATGTACAAGAAATTATTAATTATATCATATAGATTTAAAAAACCAAATTTATTTTTATTATTTGATGCTTGTTTGTATATGAACCTGTGATTTTTTGCAGCAACATTTCTTTGCATTAAATCATTTTCGAACCTTTCAAATTTTTTTTTTTTTCATCATTTCACGATTTATTTTTGATAGCATTAACAAAAACTAATATAAAGCTTTTTTTATTTTTTGCAAAATAAAGATACATCTTTGTCAATAGTGCCAAATCACTGAAATCAAATCTCCAATCCAGAATCCCCATCTCTATGGGTTTCTCTCAATTATTTTTCTTTTTCATTCCTTAAAATTCACGTATATTTTATTTTACTTATCATGCTTTATCTTTGACATAAAAATTATAAATGATTATTATTTTTTTAACTTTACTTGGTGACTTGAGTCAATTCAATCATTGAAAAGTTTTGTCATTTCTAAATTTCACGTTAAAATAACATTAATTTTGGCCATTATTTGATAACAAATTAAATTCTTATTTATAATTTACGCGTATATATATACAAGGAACAATCATTCTGATAAAGTCAATCAACAACCAAATCAACCCCCTCCCATTTAGTTAATACATGAGACTACAGTAACTATAATACATTATTATAAAAATACAAACAGTGCAAATAAAATATGTTCTAATCTGATACAGAAAAATTCTGAATAAAAGAGATATTACCATGGCAAACATCTTTGATACTTTAAATTCCTGCTATTTTTTTTTTTTTTTTTTAAAAAAAAAAAATTATTCCGGTATATTTAGAAAAAAAAAAATTAATTAAATTAATTAACACTCACCAAAAAAACAAAAAAAGTTTTCTCGAGATACAGTAAATAAGGTTTTTCAGCTCAATTTATGAAAGCTTTCAGAAAGATATGGGTATGCTTGCTTTATTTTTTTTTTGCTTCTTTCTTGTAAAACAAGGATATAAAAAAAAAAAAAAATTTTTCGGCAAAAATGTGATCTTTAATTTTTTCTATAAAGATATTCTTTTATATAAATGGATTACCCAATATAGAATTTTCCTAATCTGTATAGTGATTACACTTCAAGAACAGCAATTTATTTATAGATCTTATTGAGGCTTCTACCAACCAATCACCATCCCATCACCTCTAAAATCGCTCCCACCAGCCCAAACTATTTTGCCGCTCTTTTCATCTATCCTCCTTTCAATAATTTGCCCTCTCCCAAACAAAACTCGATCCCATCCTTTAACTAGCTCAACTTTATGTCCCATTTGATTTAATTCGTCGATTACTTTCTGATCAATACCTTCTTCTGCAAATATTGTAGAAGTGTGATATGATGGATTTAATGGATTTCTTGGAACGCCTGGACCAATACAAATCCTTGGTGCATCAAGGCTTGTTTGTGGATTTAGATTATTATGAAGTAGGTTTAATAATACTTGAACGTGTCCTTGTGGCTGATAAACATTAGCTGAGAGTTTAAATGGTATTTCAAAAAAAAAAAATTGATAATAACGAACTAACCTGCATAAATCCTCCCATAACTTATTATAAGTTACTTTTCATTAATATTTTTTTTTTTTTTTTTTTAAAAAAAAAGGTATAACAAATAAAACAAACAAATACCTCCATAGGATAACAATAATTCATCTCCTTTTGTTACCATACATGGAATAATTGTATGATAGGGTCTTTTGTTAGGTTCAAGACAATTAGGGTGCCCTTTCTCTAATACAAAACCCGACCCACGACTTTGTAACGTAAATCCACAATCCTTTGGTATTGCCCCCTTAAATTCATCAGAACAAGTTGTAAAAAAAAAAAAAAATTTAAAACACAAGGATAATCTTTTTGATGCTTCAAGTTACCGTTCCGAATCCAACATAATTTGAAATGATAAAACTACAAGCATTTCCTTCTCGATCAACAACAGAAAAGTACACTGTATCGCTTGAATTCACGGGAGATCCCTTTTGAACATCGATCGAAGATTTTGATGCATCAAATAATTGCGCTCGTTTGATTAAATATTCCTACATAATTTCAAAAAATTTTCAATATTAAATTAATCTAAATGGTACTTTCATGTATAAATCATTCACCTTTGACAACAATTCGTTTACGGGAACATGATGAACATCAGGATCAGTAACGTAATATTGAGTGTCAGCAAATGCTAACCTCAAACTCTCAATTAATGCATGAATATATTGCGTAGAATTGTGTTCAAGAGAATTTAGGTTTGGAATTTTTCCTTGTTCTTGTAAAATCTCTAGAATCCTTAATGTCATAAGTGCAGTTATACCTTTATTTAATTTATTTTTTTTTTTTAAAAAAAAAATATATATATATATATTACATGTTTATTACATTTATCAAAAAAAAAAAGGTATCAAGAGAAATAAAAGTTATGCTTACCTTGACCATTCGGAGGACATTCCCAAACCCTAACACCTTTATATTCGATACTTATAGGTTCAACGCGTGTAGTTGCGTGGGAAGATAAATCTTCCAAAGTCATTACACCTCCTTTTGATTGAACTAATTCAACAATGGCCTCAGCAATTCGTCCTTGAAATAATATATATATATATATATAAAAAATCAATGATAATAATTATATAATCTTTTAAATTAAACTTACCTTTGTAGAATCCATCTTTCCCTTTTTCCGATAATTCACGAAAAGTTCTAACAAGGTAATGCCTAATTAACCAAATGTTGAAATTTTCAATACGACAAAATACCAATCCTCTTACCTAGCTAAATTTGGCATGTGCATAATTTCGCCAACTTTTGGAGCTCGACCGTCAATTAACATATCACCACCATTTGGTGATGAGGTCCGAAGAATTTCTTCTTCACTTTTCCACTTTAAAATCAAAATTTTCTTTTTTTATTAAAAAAATAAAGAATTCGGCAAGTTTTTAAAATTATATTACAGAATTATATATATATATATTATACCTGCCATGCGCTTATTTCCGACACAGGATATCCATTTTCCGCCAACTCAATAGCAGGTCTTAAAATCTCTCCAAGAGATAATTTACCACTACCGAACCATTCAACACAATCAACCCACCCTGCTGCAGCCCCGGGTATTGTCGAGGCATTTATGTTTTTATACGGGATGTTATTTTGGATGATTCCCAACTTATCTCGAACATATTCGAGCGTTAATTTTGATGGCGATCTTAATAAATTAAGAATTTCTCAGTATCTGACAATTGAAAATAAAAATTCAACTTTGAATTACCTTCCCGATCCGTTCATTCCGTGTACCTTCTTTGTTCTTGCTTCATAAAATAAACAAAAACAATCTCCACCAATTCCGGTCGATGAAGGTTCTTTCAATTATAAAATATGCTTATAGATTAATCATAGAAGAATTATGAGTGAAACACACGAGGAATTATTATTAATAATATTAACTACCCGTTACATTCAAAGCAGCAGCTGTATGAATAATTAAATGAATTATTAAAAAAAAAAAAAAAAAAAATTTAATCATTCAAGATAAAATTTAATAAACATGCCAGTCGCAACAGCAGCATCCTAGTATGAAAAAAAAAATTATTTTCTTTCATTTAATAGATTTCTATCATTTAATTTTTCATTGAATCGATTTATTGATCAATTATTTTAATTCTTTAATTATTTATTAATAATCTTATATTTACCGCGGCATTTCCTCCTTTTTTTAAAATTTCTAAACCAGCTTGACATGCCAATGGTTGACTTAAACGAAAATGATATTAGTAATAAAAATAATAAATTTCAACAAATTGAAAAAATTCAAAGTTACTTACCTACAAGCTACCATAGCATTAGTACCAAAAACAACCGATCTGCGAGAAGTAAATTTGATGAAAGATTGTTGTTCCATTTCGACCATTTTTTTTAAGAATGATATATCGAAATGTTTTTTATTAAAGTTTTTTGAAAATCAACCTTTTTCATTAATTGTTTAAAAGATGAACGTGGTCTATCTTTTGAAGATTATAGGAAATCAATTTTTATAGAACTTCCTTTTGAAACAGGATCAATTCATAAATAATAATTCACACTAGATCAATAAAGATTAACCATCTTTCAGCTGCGCCAAACATGGTTGTGTAACACACACGATAAGTTGAGGTAACAACTCTTCCCTTTAGTAGTTAAACTAAATTAAACTACTAAAGACCCTAGAACTCTGCAAAGTTGATGGTTTCCGAGTTGTTCCTGTTCCGAATTTCATCAGCCAATCCAAATTCAGGAACAATTGAATAGAATTATACGGTACCTCCCTATTTCTGTTCCGGCTTGTGGTACGATAATGTATGACTACATTTGGATCGACCAAACCGGAACAGGCTTTCAGCCACCGTCGATCGATGCTAATTCTAGGGTCAGTCAATTTTTCAATATTCTGGGTACATTTACGTCGAGTGGACGAAAATCATGTTGTGTTCCTCCGTCCAGAAAGAAATTAGTAACATGCCCGAATGTCCTAAGGCAGATCCCGAAGTTTTTAAAAAAGTTCAAAGATCTCGGAACCTATCCAATAGGCTAATACCCTGCATTAGGAGGGCGACAATGCATACAGACAGCTGTCGTTGGTTAAGAATAAAGCAGATGATTCTAAAGGTAATAGAACCAGGAGACGGATAAGCGGTTTAGACATTACAGTGATACAAGTTCATTAATCGAAATAAGGTTTGTTGACCGAAGGCACAAAAGAATCACTTGTCCGGGTGCAACCTTTGATCAAAAGAAAATTATTACTATTATTGAATTTCTTGATTCAATATATGAAGTCAAGATATTTACTCAAATTAATCTCAAATCGTAAGGAAAAAAAAATAAAATAAAAAATGATTTCATACATCTTACTTGCGATTTTCGTCGGTTTATGGTATTATTTTACCCAAAAGCCTTCAATTCCTAAAGGACTTAAACCTCTTCCTTCACCAAAGGGATCTAGGTTTTATTTAGGTGGGAAGATTTTCTTTTTTCCGAAATTTATGTATTCATTGGAATTGAAAGTGGGTTAATATTTCGAAAAAAAAAAAAAATGATTTTTTTAAATATGTAGGACATAGTCATTTACTTGGTCCCAAACCACATGAAACGTTCACAAATTGGTCTAAAGAACTGAATAGCGATATTTACTCGATAAAGATAGGCGTATTAAATTGTGTTATTTTAAACAGCGATAAGGTGGTTGGAGATTTACTTCAAAAGCGTAAGTTTTTTTAATTAATTAATAATAACCTCTAGTGATCATTTGATCTATATCTTATGAATCTCTCTTACTTAGGAGATGCAATTTACTCGTCTAGACTTGATTCGGAACTTTACTTTCGTCTACTTACAAGAGGATCTGCTATTGGGTTTTGTCCAGATGATGCATTTTATAAGAAAGCTAAAGCGATAAGTAAGTAGTGTACATCAAATAATTTCAAATGATTGGAGAAATCTTTGTGTTAAGACACGTGAATCTTTATTTTTTTTTTTTTATCGAAAACAATAATAGGTGTTGGAATCCTTTCGTTGAAGAAATCCGAAACTTACAGTCCATTAATCGATAAAATAACAAAAGAAATGCTTTTAGATGTGATTAATACCTCCACTTCATTATCAAATCCCGAACCACTAAATCCACGTTCATACCTTCATCGTACAACCTTAAACGTGATTTTGGATGTAACTTTCGGAATTCATACTACAAGTATTAATGATCCACTATTTAAACGAGTAGACAAATGGGTAGACGAATTTACAGGAATCTTTGCGGATGAACATAGGAGATCGGAATTTTTCCCGATATTAAAATATCTTCCAAACAAAACGATGCAGGTCACACATATGACGCTTTTTTTATTTTTATTTTTTTTTAAAAAAAAAAAAAAACTTTATTTATTTAACAATGTTGTTATAACGATTTACAGTTGGCGACGGCAATTCGAGATGATATTGATTCGATTTTTGGTGAACTTTTGGAAGATATTAAATCAGGAAAAAATAAAACTCCATGTGCTGCGAGAGAAGTTTATGAAAAAAAGGAATTAGAAGATTATCAAATCGTTCATCTTTTTGCGTTTCTCGTATTTGCCGGAACGGTAACTATTTAATTATTAATCTTGAGTGGTTTTTTTTGTTTTTCGTGAAAAAAATATGTTCACCTTTTTTTTTTTATTTTTTTTTAGGAAACTGTAGCGGCAAGTTTAACATGGATAATAGCGTTCTTGGCCAATAATCCCTCGTTCCAAGAACCAGCACACAAAGAACTTGACGCGCTCATTCCTAAACATGATCGACTCCCAACTTACGCCGATCTTAAAAAGCTTCCCTACACTCTTGCATTAATTAGGGAAGGTCTAAGAATATATGCACCAACTTGGTTGGGAGTTCAACATGCTAATGAAATAGATGATGAATATAATGGTTATCATATTCCAGCATACTCTTCAATATTTATTAATTGTCACGCAATTGCAACCAATGAACAACGTCATAAAAATCCCATGCAATTTGATCCGTATCGATTTATCAACGTTGAGGAAAGTATGGCTAGTTTGGCTGATGGACCCGCTGAAAAGAGAGACACATTTGTTTTTGGAGCAGGAAAAAGGCTTTGTACGGGAATCCATTTGGTAAATATTTTTTACATTAGTAAATATTCCAATGATTTTTTTTTTTTTTGATTCTAATATATATTTTTTTTCCCCTTAGGCTGAAGCTGAATTATTCACTATTTTATCACGTATTCTATATTGCTTTAATATTGTAAATGCTTCGCCTACTGGAGAAGACGGAAAACCTACCCCAATTAATTTGAACAAGCCTATAATTGGATTAACCATTTGGCCTGAGGATTATAATATAAAACTTGTTCCTAGAAATGATCGGATTATGCAACTTATAAAGGAATGAATTATGTTATTCTCTTCAAAGATAATTTATATTGCGTCAGTAAAACCGTTATAGTCGGTTCTTTTATACTTCAATAAAATTGTTTCACAAAAATTATAAAATCATGTGAAAAAAATGTAAATATATATTTTTTTTCCCAATCAATTTTCCAGGCCGTCATGGTCACAACGGTCTAATGAAAAAAAAAAAAAAAAAAAAAAAAAAAAAATCGATCTTTTTTCTGAAAATTTTTTGATATGGGAAACTTTCGATTGCAAAATAAGCCGTTTCATAAGTTAACCCGTCATAAAAAGAATCTAATCTCGTGGCAATGTTTGTTTACGTTCCTGGAGATGTTGTAAAACCAAAATAAGGATGAATTTTCCGTCCCGTCCCATCCACATATTCGGATATTGTAAACCGTTGACGATTAATTTTGTTTTATCTGATCAAAACCGAATTTACAAGTACTCTTAATTGTCACATTAAAAGATGAGGATTTTATAACATCAAAGGATAACAATTAAATAATTCCAGACTTGTAAATTTATCCAGAGATATAACAACACATGGTAAAATATCTGACTTGGAAATAATCAACGATATATCATTTAAAGCCAGTTTTTGATAAAAGAACTCCCCCACAATTTTTTTTAAAAAAAAAAAAAATTTTTTTGAGGGAAATATATTTTTAGAGAAAGCTACTTCAAAAGTTCGAAGGTATTTCTACTGTTAAACGAGAAGTCAAAGCAAATGAAAAATCATGTATTCTTATTATTTATTTTTTTTCTTTCACGTGTATCAACTTTGTAATGATACAGCTTTATCAGAACCATCCTTTCGGTAATGGATAATATGATGAACAATTTTTATGCTCAACAAACTACTCGACAAGAAGCACAAAGCACTCTACAAACATCACCTTCAACTTTACGAAGCTCTACATCATCTTCTTTCGCCACTCCTAGGACCGCGAGATACAATAATGATGATTACAATCAAGTTCTTGAATTTAAAATTCAATTAAAACATATAAGAAAACCGGCAATCTGGCGTCGTATTCAAGTACCATATGATTACACCTTTTTTCAATTTCATTTAGCAATTCAATGTTGCATGGGATGGCTTGTAAGTTCATGGGATCGATTTATAATTTGATCAATCCTCGAATCGTCGTTAATAATCTACCTTAATTTTACGTGATAATAGAATTGTCATACGCACGTGTTTCGTGCGCAAGAAGGTTTCGAATATGGTAACCCTCACATTGAGATAAATTTTCCCGGAATACCAAAAGTGCGAGAAGAAAAATCAAACCTAATCAAAGATTACTTTCATAGTAAAGGACAAATAATGGAATATGAATATGATTCGGGAGATTCATGGGAACATGTTATTACATATGAAGGTGTATTTGATCGTAAACAAAGTACTCAATATCCAAAATGTTTGAGAGGTAGAGGTAAATGCCCTCCTGAAGATATTGGTAGTTATGAAGGTTTTGAAAGGTTTAAAGAAATCATAAAAGATAAAAATCATCCCGAATATGAAGAATTTAGTAATTGGTATGGTGAAAGCGATGATTATGATCCTAATGAATTTGATAAAGATTCTGCTTTTAATGGTTTAGAACTTATGCATGATTTTAGGGATGTCAGCGATTACTGTTAGATAGATAGATAGTTATAATTCGATACCTTTGTAATCACAAATTCTTCTTTTTTTTTTCTTCTGAATGAATAGAAAAATCTTAATAATATAATAAAACAAGGATTATAATGAATATTCTAAATTTTATTTTTATTCATTTTATTAAAAAAAAAAAAAAAATAGTAATAATTGAGGGTGCCATTATAGGGTCCGTGTAAAAACCAGCGAGTACCATCCAGGGATAGATCCTGGTCATTAGCCACAACTACTAAAAAGAGGGTTAAGGTTAGTCATAACGTTAGGTGGCAATTTATCAAACCTCTCTGTGGTTCGTTTTTACTGGAAACAGATATTTTCACCTATATAGAACTTTACAAGTAGACCATGATAGCTTCACTTCTATAATATCCAAGATTAGTCAACAATTCGCTTATTATAAGTTTTGATAATAATTCAAGATGTACGATCGATGACCAAATCGAATATGTTAAAAAACTTATCATTAATGAAATGATAAATGTGAGGATAGTCATGACTGTTAATACATAGGCAACTAATTTTTGTGATGAAAAATAAGGTTGACAGTGTATTGCGTACATGGCGGAAATAGAGTTTTCTTTTTTCTTTTTTTTGAATAAATTTTTATTTCACCTTATATATGTTTAGAATCGAGTCGTACCAACGATGTATCATATGTTTCATTTAATAAAAAAAATATTGTACATACATTTAGGGAATTTAATGGAACCATTTTCGTTATCTTTAGAATGTAGGATTGAAACAAACTTTATTTTTAGTAAGTGTGATAATGAAAATCATGTTAAAAGAAATTACCGATTAAATGTATTAGTCAAATTCGTAAGATTCATTGAATGACCTGAAATAGATTCTTGGATGCTACGCCACATACACATCGAAAAAAATGTTTCTTTTATTCATGAACACAAAACTCCTCGCGCTATGAAAATTCTTAATTATAAAAACCTTCCTGTTTATTATTTTGGAATAAAAAAATCTTTGATGCAAGTTAGTATTTTTAATGAAATTTTTCTCAAACTCAATGAAGAAATAAAACAATTGTGCTTTTATCTGATAATGCACCAGTGCACCTTATTTAGATGAAACTAAAGTGAAATCAGATAGCATTGATGTGAAATTTCTTCCACTAAATACTACAACTATTCTTCAATCATTCATTTAAATGTTATTACAAATGTATTTTTATCTAAAATCGAATTGATACATGATAATAACAATTTGTGTTTAGGGGTTTTGGAACAAAACACCACATATTGTGCTTGGGTCTCTCAAGCGTCAAGAACTATATCGATTTTTTTATTATACTAAAACTGCTTTAAAATGCTTTGGAACCTTAATTTTTATATTGAAATTTTTGTTATATTTAATAAATCTAACGAAATAAATATATCTAAAACAGTTTCAGTAAGAACCAGCACATTAAATAATATTTGGTTTAGCGCATCTATACTCATCAAATTCAAATTATATCAAAGTCACGTTAAAATTCATGTGAAACTATTTTTAATGATTGATAAATAGGATTATTTATTATAGTAAAAGAAATGCAATTTCAGTGATATAACATACATAAAACAATTATAATATAACTAATCAAATTTAATTTAATTTAACTTTATCTGAAATTCTTCTATGAAATCTATATTTTTAACTTTTTGATATAAACTTATATAATGTCAAGCTTTTCTTGTGAACCTTCTAATTGTAATTAATGAAACTGATTCAAGACTTTAAGGTACAATTTGGTTTAATCCTATTCATAAATAATTACAATTTTCTCTTACATGCCTCTTTGCAACTTCTCAATAATACTCAATAAAATTAAGTTCATAATGAAATTTTTGGGCGAAATATATTTGTGATCTGTTTAAAAATTGCATTTTTTGAGTAAAAAAATCTAATAACACGTATAACAATTAATTTAATTTTCATTATCTTTTTTTCTTTGCATTCTTTCCATTCTAATAATAATCTACCATTAGACCATTGTTCTCATTCTTGTAATATTTGTCTCAGCCTCTTAGCTTTATCACAAAACTTTTCATTTAAATGATAATCAAAGAATATCACTAATTGCAACTAGTTATAAAGATTCCAGTATATATCATGCATTTTTAATTGCAAACCATTAGGATTTAAATTTATTTTTTGCCATTAATACATCTTTTATAAATATTACATAATTTGAATTATTGTAAAATGCAAAAATTCTAATACAATTTGAATAAAAAACTTTAAATATAAAAATTGCTTAAGTTTTTATTTGTTTAATAACATTTTCTGCTGTTTAATAACATAACTTTACATATTCACATACTTTGACTGGAATTGTAAGAAACTACTAATCAATATTTACTGATTTTAATTTCAAATATCCTTACTAATAATAATTGATTTATTATTATCCTTTTTCATAAAACAATTTTACATTTTTAGCTAAAATATCAAATTATCTATTATTAGAATAAAAATTACATTTATTATATATTATAAAGACATACCCCTTTTCATCTTTTACTAAATTAGATAAGATTTAATCTATATTTTTATTCTTATAATATGATATAAATCTTTTATATTTAAAATTTTATTTTAAAAAATTATTTTTATATTTAATTATATTTATATACTCATTTTTATTATAAAATATATCTTGCTTTTACTTTTACTTTAAATACTCAAGAATATAAAGTTAATGAATTTTATAGACATAATTTTATAATTCTAATCTAAATATAATATTTTTTAAAAATATTTTTATTATTAATTAATCAAATATTTTTTAATACTTTTCTTTAATATAATATAAAGAATATATTATGAAGCATTTTAAATTTTATTATTAACAAAAATCATATGTGTAATATTTAAACTTACTTTCATTTCTTTACTATCATTTTATTTAATAATTTTAAATATTCAAAATTGTTTATTTCTTATTATATTTATTAATCTTTATTTACTGTATTAATGAATTTTATTTTTATTTTTATATTAATTTTATTTATTTATTTAAGTTTTCTTTTTTGATTATTCTATTTACTTTTATTTTCAATATCATGATCCAAATTTACAATAATATTAATATTAGATTAGAATTTATATATAAAAAACTTATAATCTTTGAAATGCCAATTATAGAGATATTAATAGCTAAAAATATATCAGCTTTAAACTGATTATGTAATTGAATTAATTCAATTTAGTTTAAAATCAAGATTAAGAACTGTGATAAATATCTATTTTTATTATGTGATTTAATATGATTAGATCATTAGTTCAATTAATAATTAACTAAATTTTCAATTGCAACTTCAATCATAGTTAATAACTTATTTAGAAAATTCTAAATAATAAAATTTTTATTATTATTTATCTAAAAAAATTTAAATAAGTATTAGTTTTTAAAATTAATAAAATATAAGCTTAATAATAAATTTTTTTTTGCATATTAATTGATTTTATTATTTATTATAATAATTATATATAAATAAAATTAAATTAAAGTACTGTATGCTTGTTCTTGATTAGATATAAATTAACCTATAATTATTAATCCTAAACATTATGTAGAGATAATAAGCTATATTTAGAAAAAAATTTTTTTAGCAAAAAATCAAAAAAATTTATAAAAAATTAAATGTAATTAAAGAAGAAAATAAAAAAAGAAATAGTTAAAAAGAATAACATTTAAAATTTTGTTTAAAAAATAAAAAAGAATATCAATAGTTAAAAAGTGATAATTAGATTTAAAAATAAAGAATTATATAAAAAATTTTTTAGTTTATTATAGTATTTTAGTATTAGATAATAATAGTGAGAAAAATCAGGTTCATTGAGTTCATCAGTGGGTTCATCATTATCAATCTCATTTTGCAGTTATTTATTATTATCATCAGAATAATACAACTATAATATCAACTAATCAGAATATTCTTACAAGACTTTATACTAAGACAGATCTTTATAGAAAAGAAAAATTAGAAAAATAAAGAGTATTTAATTTTTAGTAAAGTAAATATAAAATTTAGTTTAAAATATATTTATAATATCTAAAACTTAAATAATCTTATAGCATTCTAATTCAGATTGCCTTTTTGCTTTTACTTGAAAAACTAAAAAATAAAAGTTAAATTTAACTAAATTTTAATATAAATATTAAATAAAATACATTTTTAAATACTATCAATAGAGTAATTGACTAATCATAATAAAGTCACGTGAATGACGTAATATAATGATCTCCTAATTCAGAATTCTAAAAATATAAAGTATCTACGTAATTCTAAAGATCTTTTAAATACTGATAATAATCCTAATTTTACGAAATTAAATGAAGTCTAAGAATATTTAGTATTATACTTATTTTTAATATTCTAAGTTTTATTGTTATTTTATTATATTTTATATTCTTATTATTTTACATATTTTTATTATTTTCAATATATTTATTTTACTTATATTTTAATTAGTTAGTTTATAGCATAGTAATTAGTTAGCTATAATAAAAGAAATTTTGTATAAATAGATAAATTTTTTACTTATGTTATAAATTAACTCTTTTACAGATTACCAATTGAATTTCAATATTAATAAAAGAATTGTTCAAAATTTATATCTTTCTGCCTCTTTATATCTTTATATAGTCTAATGTGATCCCTACACAATATTTGTAATTGAGTTCGATATTTGAATATTTTAATTAAATTATTTATAGTCTTGTCTTTCAAGTCTTCATACTTGATAAATTTGTTTAAATTTAAACATGTAAATTTGATAAAGTTAAGAGTTAGGCAGATCCTTACATTTTGACTGCAATAAACTGCAATTAGAAATTCTAAGTAGAGACTTGATAATATGATTACCCTAAGTTAAAGAATTTCACAATGACAATACTTACTAAATTTTTTCTAAAAGGAATTTTAAAATTTTTTTATATATTTTTCATCAACTTCACTTTATTTTTTTTTTCAAATTTCCTTTGCATAATTAAAATGAGAGGATTTCTAAAAGTCAAGTTCTGAAAATTTTTTAATTAAAATTAAGAGTTTAATGCATTTTAATTTAATAACATCAAAAATTAAATTGTAATAAAAATCTTAATTTGTTAAAAAATTTGTAGAATCTAATTTTTCTAGCAATTAATTCAAATAACTAAAATATTAATTATATAATTTTTATTTATATAATTATATTATATACTTTCTTAATTAAGATTTTATTTATTTTATAATTCTTAAATATCTCTTTAAATTTTGCTTGACACTATATTACTATAATATCTATATTATTATACAAATTAATTGCAAAGTTTACTAACTGAAATATAGATATTAATGTATATAGTAAAGTTTTAGATTTCTAAAAATTAATAATTTATATTAATAATTCTAGAATCTTGTTCATATTAATAAAATTATTAATATAAATTAATATAATCAATATATATATATATATATATTTATAAAGAAAAATAATAATAATAGATTAGATTTTATATTATGAGTTTA